GGAAAATTTTAGTTTTTCTTTTGCATATAATTTGTAGGAGTTATAATTTATTACAGATTCGTTTGCGAAAGATACATTTAATATTTCAGACTAAATTTTGGTTATAATATAAGTTTAAATATGTTATACATTATGTAAACACTACAATGTTTCTCATTACATAAATAATTATGTACAAGCACGCAAATAAATAACAAGAATATTCTCTGAATGTAAACGGTGATTCCGACAATATGAATTAATGGCCATGCATATTCCCACAACTTTATTATATCATTTAAAAATATTAAAAGGTCACAACGGACTGATTTCTAAATAGATTAACGTGTGAATGTTGGTAACATGCTAAGTAATAGCTATTTAATTATGGGCTATCAAACGGCCGTGCAAACCTAACGTTTAGGTGTCAAAACAATGTGAAAAAATATTATAAAGATAAGATTATATACAGATTCTTTATTCCCACCAGCCAGACAATTGTTCCAATAAATATAATCTGTATTATTAATACATGAGATATCTTTTAAAGGTTGAAGAATCGCGAATTAATATCAAGACTGAGGGCCTCATAGCCTAGCGGTCTTATTAAGTGGCAGCTAGGTGAGGGGTACCGGGTTCGATTCCCGGTTCGAGGGCAAGTTTTAATTTAATTTAAATTTTTTCTCGGCCTTTGGGAGGGTTGTGCGGTACCAGGCGAGTGCTTAAACCGTACATGGAGGACACGGTCGAATTTCTAAAGACAAGCACGAATTAAAAAAAAATCCTATACTTGACGCTGGCTAATGCACAAATCGTGCTAGAGCCAGTAAAAAAAAATATGAAGACTAAAGATCTATTGTATAATACATTATATATATGATCAAAAATCTCATATATTTTTATAGGTTTCATTTAGTAGTGATTTATGGTCAGTTGCAGAATTTAGTTTTGTTAAATTTTGTGCATATGAAAAAAAAAGTTTATTTAAATACTCAAAGATACAGTTTTTGTAAAAGATTTTAACCAAAATTATTTGATCTAAGATATTTTTTAAAATTTAATCACTCAAAAGTGAACACCAGTGGTAGGTATTACAACTCACCTAGGAACTGCTTTCATTTTGTAAAATGTCATTTAACCGATAACTCCGTCACGATGTTGCCAGATTCAAGTAATTCAGGGGTGTGTCTGCGCACGCGCTGCAGTAACTATTAAAATTTAACCCAAACGTGATGAGTTTTGATATAAAATTATGTTTTTATAATTGCATTGTTGTAAAATAAGTTTTAATAAAATTGGTTTTCGTTGTAAGCGTGAAAGTAATTTATTATGAATATTTATTTCTGCTTCAATACATATTGTATGGTGAGGGAGGTTTGCGCATGTATGTAAAAAATATGTGCATTTAAAAACACTTCTATAACGGTCGAGTTATATAATATGCAATTTCGTTTTCATCGTTAAGGAAGTTTCATTTATATGTACCTACTCCAAACCAAAAATAATATAATTTCTGCCCATACTAAGATTTTCGCGAGAGAGAGTCAATGTCATGGCCTTCGTTAACGATAGTGTCTATAGTCAGATATTCGTATAGATTCTATAGGCTATTTTTTTGGTTCTACCAATATAGATAGTCTAGACAGATTTGTTAACAATAGATGTATTAGAGGATGAACACCTTCAGAATTCGTGCAACACTATTTTACGGTCTAATTCCCACACAGGTATGAATAAGTTTCTCACATTTAGACTTCGAAATACCAGTACTAATTTACTGTCGTAAAGCTATATATACAATGCTTGCATGCAATGCGATCGAATATAATTTTAGAAACATTTTTGAGCGTTTCACCATTTTATTAACAATTACCATTTAATAAAATATTAATATAACTCCCCGAGAGTATAGCCAGACGTTGGCACTCTCTTCGACTGTTACATTGCATTCATTCGTTACATAGCAATTAACATTTCATTATTACGTTTATATTCTATTGTTGTACGCGACTAGTTAATATACAGTAAAATAAAATCCTCCATTATTTAAAGCACCCCGATGACCCAGGAACCGTGCAATTACATCTCACCTAGAGTTAAAAGTCTATCAAAACTAAATATGTAGTTATTTTTCTAAGAATCGCACCCACGAACATATTTTTAGGTTTCTGAAATATGATTCTCTTTAATGTTTGGTTTATTATATTATTCTGAAGCTCAATAAAACTTATTAATTAAAAAAATTAGTTTATAAATAAGTTTTGCTTTCCTAAAATATTATTGTATATACTTTCATTTTCCGCGTAGCTTATTATGCCTTTAATAAACAATACTTTCACTTAATACCCTGATAATGTTACCGAAAATTAGCGCAAAATGTAACTTATATAAGTAGAAATCCAATACATTTTAGACTTGGGAGTGAAAACTAAGTATGCCATAACGATTCAAGTGTGAATATTGCCTCTAACATTTGTGTTTCTTTGTGCTTTGACACTGCATGTCACGAAGTTGTTTAATGTCTAAAGTGTAATTTAAAAAAGTTGTGGAAGTTTCTAGTTTCCGAGGCCAAGACATATTTAGATATATATTTCGGGACGAATACAGAGACACGGTTCACTAGGAACTATCAGAAATGTCTGCATATTGAAATCGTACATAGTTCAACAAATTATAGCTCATATTTCTTAAGACAGTGTTTCTTAAAGTTAAATTCGCGCTTTAAATATACCAAATTCTATGTTTTCTAATTTATAATATAACTCGAGTAGACTTAGAAGAAATATATGTTTACTTTGATTTGTATATCTTATGCATGTTAACGGGTTGTAGGGTGTCTGGTACTCTAATATACTTACATTATATTTAACTACAAACAAATCAATTTCATTTCTGTAAAATAATTATGAAGACATGGTGTATAACCAGATCGTAGGTTGAATAAAACAATAATTGTTTGGGGTTTCTTTTGTTCGGTCTAGTCCAGGGACATTTTTTCGTCTATATATGTTCTAATATACTCTTACTAAGAATAAAATATACACTTTTGTGTTGCGCATGTCGCGAGATACGCCCTGGCTACATCGGTAATAGTATTATGTACGAATTACGATACCCGTTCTTTCATTCTTGTTTAGGGTTAGTATGCTCAGTAGAAATAATATCAATTGGAAGCAGAGTTGTGTTCACCCCAATGGTTTTGAGAACCCTTAAGATAATGTTATATATCCATATAGGAATTAAATGTACCAAACTGAAAAGTTTGGGAAGATCTGTTGTAAGGAATAATTTAGAAACGATAAAATTTTACGATAATAGTTTTAAACTTTATGTAATTTACCTGTTTTATTAACTGTAATTATTAATTTCATGAACTTTGCTACCCGGTGTCTAATATGAGAAGTAGTTGTATTAATTGCTACTTAGCAACCACTTGGTTGGAGGATGGATTAGCAACGTTAAGCAACTATTACAACGGCCAGAAAGTTGATTGTTTTAATCATAGATACAAATGTTAATAGTTTAGCAGTCCTAACATTTTTTTAGTAATTTTTTTCATCATTGATAACAACGTAAACATAAATATCGTATTATTTTTAGTAAATTATCATAATGATGATCTATAAATCGTTATTTGGCAAAAATATCACACAAAAAATTTGAATCAAATAGTTTTTAGTTAAAAACTGTAGACAATAGTTCTTCCCATTCGCAGCGGTAATGAAGATCGCATGGATATAACAAATGGGGGGTCAGCAGAAAAAAAATGAATTTTTAACTATGTATTATTTGAAAATATATATTTATTATTTATAAATAAAGGTATTCTCTTCTAAGCCACAGCCAGCATTGAATACTCGTACATATCGAACGACGTTCAGTTGGGTACTTGAGGAAGGCTAAATTATCCAAAAGTTGGAGGCGGTACTTCACTCCGGGCCACCGCTGCAACTATATAAAGCGCAAATTGGCCCCACATGGAGTACTGCTCTCACCTTGGGCGGGGCTCCCAGTACCAGCTCCTTCCACTTGACCGTATACAACGCAGAGCGGTTCGAATCGTCGACGACCAATCCCTCCGAGCGGCTTCCTTTGGCGTTGCGTAGAGATGGGGGTGACTCTGCATCTTCTACCGCATTTACCATGGAGAGTGTTCAGAGGAGTTGTTCGGATTAATACCTGAGCTGAGGTTTCATCATCGGACGTCGAGACAGAATACGAAATTCCACCCGTTCACCTCGACGTCCGCCGTTCCACAACTGAGCGTTTTGCAAGGCAGTTTTTGCCGCGCCCCACCACTATGTGGAATCAGCTGCCCACTGAAGTATTTCCGAACCAATTCGACTTGGGTCCTTCAAGAAAAGACGTACCAATTTTAAAAGGCCGGCAACGCACTGCCCCTCTATTGAGAGTGTCATGGGGGCGGTGTCATTAACATAGGTGGTCCGCCGGGCCCCCCCCCCCCCCCCCCTAAAAAAAAAAATAAAGGTATTTATAATTCGTTCTAAATATTAATATAATATTAATATGGAACCCGACTGGCAATTTTTTTTTAACTTACACCGCTGGCAACCCGAAGTGAGCCGTGGCTTCCAAAACTAAAAGTCCTTCTTCGACCGCATGCTACCTCTTGCCATTTTTAATTATAGAATATTAAAACAACTTATATACTCTCTAATATTCACAAAACTGTTGTCAAATTACGTTTATATTGTCAACATAATATTCCTTATAAAAACAAAACTCTTAACAAAATTAAAAACAGTTCTGCGGACCATCCACATGGAATGCAGACGATAGAACAATGCACAGAGATCGATAGTGCAAGGCCGGCCCGCTCACACTCATTTGTAAGCTATGGTATGCAGTTAGCCCGGTTAAGCGTCACACATCGTGGCCAAAGCGCGGATGCGTCATCGGGAATACATATTTATTTATACATATTTTAGGATATCGAAGCTCTAACTTAGAAGGAACACTCTTAAATTATTTCAATATTAAAATACATTTTTCTTTTTCAGATGTTATTTACCTGCGTTTTCGCGACTTCCCTTCTCGCCCTTGTGGCGTCAGCTGGAAACGAGTACCTCCCACCAACAAAGGGGTATAACTACCCACGACCGGATATACCATTCCCCACCACCATTATTAACAGGGTAATAAATCATTATGTGTAATAAAGTATAATTATTTTAAATATTTTTCTAAATTTATTAAGAAACAGAAACATAGCTATCCGCGCTTTTAGCGTAATGCTAGCAGATCGCTAATTAATGAAAATATATAAAAATAAGCCCACTTTTTAATGAAAACTTAATAATAATATACCCGTATACAACCTCTACCTACACGTAGAGGTCTGAGACCTTTCATGACTGAAATTGTTAAGGAATTTTAGAAGCAAGCAGGCAAACCTTAACAGCTTTGCAATTATAAGAATTTTGTCTACACTAAAGTTTATGACAACAAATTCATAGATTTTCATTAGACTACGACATCACTTCTCTACTTTTATATACTAAAGTTTCTTACGTTTGTCGTTAAATATTCGTGTTGTTCATCAAAACGTTACTAACATTTACGCTACTTGATAGATCTCCGTCCAACCTTTTAATAAAATCTGTACCCACAGTTTCAGGTCATTACGCATGAGGTCACTGTGGGACCCTTCTAAATAATATCACATTCAATGAAACAATGCCTTACCTTGTTGTTACTAACACATTCAAATGTCAGTTAAACTGTTTATAGCACTGATAAAAACTATTATTGGTTTTTGTGTGAACTGAGAACGTATTGACATATGCTTTAGTCGTATATAAATAGCAAGTCAATGTTTAGTTACGTACGCCGTAATTCCAAGTTTTCGAGAGCCCTTTTATTTAAAAATAAAATGGGTAAAACTGAAATATAAACCCTAAATTAATAAGTATTGTTACTATGTGTTATTTATGAAATGTTAAATAAAATACAAAAAACGTTATTTTTCAGCCAACTCCGCCACCATTCCGACCAACGCCACCTCCTGTAAGACCCACGCCGCCACCACAAAGGCCTACACCACCACCTCAGAGGCCCACCTACATACCACCAGGACCCACTCCCGGACCATCTCCAACTCCTCATGAGGTAAGCCTTTTAGCTTAAGAAAACAACTCCGACTATACGACCCTTAAAAGCTTAGATTTGAAGAAACAACGCCATCTAGTGGATTTAAATTTAACTTAATAGGTTTGGGTTGCCTGCTGGAAGATATTGCTTATTTGCGTTATTACTTTAAAATCAGATTCAGTAAGATTCAGAGTCGAGACTTAACGCTAAGTGTGACTTCCGTAAATCAAAATCGTATTAAATTTGACGTACTTAGGGTCTAAAGAAGAGGTCGCTGTGAAAATGAAATTTTCGCGAATACATAATATATCCACTCGAATGAAATCGAACACCTTATAAGTTTAAATGAAATATTAACTTAGGAAAATTTCGCTCTTTGCTTTAAAATTAAGGCACAATATAGAAAATAATGTTTAATTTAATTAGTACTATAAATTACGCATCGTCAATATAATGATCGGGACTCTTTCTCGGCTTGGGTGGCACATAAGTTTTCTTCTTAGTGTGTTGTACTTTATTTAAATCTGAAATAAATATTCAATTAAATAGATTACTTATAGTTTAGGTATTTCGTTGAGTATGATATAGATTTAAGCTTAAAGCCAATAGCCAATATTTTAAATTAAAGATCATCCTTAATCATTGCATATGTCGCGGGATAGTAACGCTTTATTTAGTAGAAACAAACTCTATATAATAAAATATATGTTATAGTATTCTCAACTATTACGGAAAGTTACTATTGAATTCATGAAGTATGCCACAAGAAACTATGATGTTTTACCGTAGCTCAAAGCTATGACCATTATAAAGGATACTTTATATTAAATGTTATATAAAAATATTTATACCGTGTTGCGGACTATACGCTGATTCAACTTGAGTGTCATAGAAAATGTAATTAAATTGTTAAACTAACATATATTTTAACAATAGCAGTGCCGTGTAATAAATATGGATGAAAATAACAATAAATAATCATAATAACTTATGTAACCTGCTTTTTTTATATGTATGATTTTGTATATTATGGTAACGAAGTGTAATAATAAATAAATCAATGAAAATTAAATTACCGTTTTCCGTATTCCGATCTCCTTGTTCTTGATAACTTTCAGCTGAAAATAGGAAATATTTTACCTGTATCAGTGGTCATTCCGATATATTATTCTTAATAACTCTTGCGTGTATGGCAAAAAGATTCAGAAACGAGAGCGCTAAGTCAGACTGCCGTAGCCCGTAAGTCAAAATATATTGGATTTTGCTCCTGGATTCCACGAAGTTTTCTTCTGAATTTCGCGAAGTCTCTCCATAAGTCTGTTTGTTTTATTTTAAAGCCTGTATTCACTTTGATTAGTGATTAGTACAGGTGATTAGTTGGCTGCGTAGTAAAGTGATTAGAAGCGTGTTCTATTTTTTTGCGAGTGAACTGCGAGTAGTGACGTCGCGTGCGCCCTTCCTTCCCCCTCACTCGCAGCGTGCCTGCCAAACTATATGACAACTGAATTTACTTAACAATAATTGGACACTACTTGCACTACACACCTGCAACAATCATCCTCAATTACTAATCACTTGCACTCGCACTAATCAAAGTGAATACAGGCCTTTATGCTGGCAAGTAGGTGGCATTCTGTGTATGACATAAGTTGCCGATTATTCGATCTTGAACATGCGGGTTACTCAATGTTTCCCTTTACCGTGGTAAACCGTGTAAATTTACTAGAATAATCAAAACCACAGCCAGAATGCACGACCCCCTCACGGCTGAGATTCGCAGCTACAAGACTATTATTATTATTAAAATTCTTAATTTTTCCATTAATTCCATCCCTATATATTACTTACCCGCTTCAGCATTGTTTTCTGCTACACTGTTATTATCCGGTTCATCTGTAAATACGTTATTAGACAGGAAATAAAATTATTCAACTAAAAAGAATCATTTACCAATAATTTTTAATATAAGAACATGCTGCCCTTAGCTCGAACAATGCGTATAATTTAATGTGTATCGTAACAGAAAGAATGAATTTCTATAGAAAATTTAAGCAGGACTCCGGCGGAATAATCAGTACCGATACCGGCAAACATCTTGAACAAATGTCCTTGCCTGCGCAGAAGCGATTTTTAGGTATCACTGGGAGGGGGGCGTCGTGTGGTGGTGCTCGGCGGCGGGAGACGTGTCGATCGCGTGATTGGTAAATCAGTTGAAGTTTGTGTCCCGCACTGCGCACACTCCCCCACTCCCTTGTTTAATGTTCAAGATGTTTGCCGGTATCTGTATCTACGCTACGGTCCTAGATAATAACTTACCTAGTTATTTACGGCATTTACTTACCCACTCGTGCTTCATTTTCTGTCGTCGCTTTACTGTCGTTTTCCGTTTCATCTGATTAATATTAATATTTGTGAATCAAATAACAATTTGACTATAGAGGTCACACACAACTAGCTGATAGGTTTCAAGTTTTCGAATAGTTTACTCAACTAAAAGTTTACGCTTGATAAGTGCACTCATAAAACTAGCCACTTTTACAAATTAAGACCTCAGTAACTTCCAATTGCGATCTCAATAATGAGTTTTTGTAACGCGCGTTGAAACATCAGCGCTATGAGATTGGGAGAACTACATCGAACTTGCATATAAAAATCTTGGGATCTGTATCTGTCACTATTGTTAGGGGGTACGGGCTCAGAATATCTTTTCTCGTATGCCAAACCTTCCTAACTTTAAAAAATCGTAGTTCTTAGTACCATATATTGCTTACCCGCCACCGCCTTGTCATCTTCAACACTATTGTTTTCCGGTTCTTCTGAAAGGTTTATAATGTCCGTAAAAATAATAATTGCTTTATTTATTTCAGTCAATTAAGCAAATGGCAAATGGTTTCATTGCTCTTACAAATAATTCTCAGTATATAACACTGACACACCCTTAGCTAGAACAATAGTCAATATATAATAATAATATTATTATCAATAATAAAATTACTATTGTAACCATATTATAGTATGTATTTGTATAGTATACTCGACGAATAGTTTACGGTCAGGCATAGTATTGGTGAAACTAATTTATAATAAATTAGTTAGAGGTGACAAGGGACTTACCCGGATGGAACGAAATTCCTTTCGATTAATTTATATGTTAATTGGTATCATAACAGTATGATAGATTATCTCGAAACCAATCTTACGACGAAAAAAAAGCCAACATCACGAGGTGGTATGGACGTTGGCGATAGCTAAATCGAAAATGTAAAATATAACAACTATAGCAAAAAGTGTCGTTACAACTTTTGGTCTTAATTTATTCCGTCTAGCCCCTTTTCGCAACGCTCGATAACTTCGTTCCAACAAGACTAATTTAGTTAAGTGATTCCAAAAATAATTTTCATTTCTTATCCCTACAAAAAAGCCAACATCACGAATGTTCTCAGGCGTCACCATCCAAGTACTGACCTCGCCCGATGCTAACTTCGGTGATGGACGAGAACCGGTGTATTACAATAGCAAATAGCAAAAAGTGTCGTGACAACTTTTCGTAAGAATTTTTTCCGTCTGGGCCCCTTTCACAACGGAGATAATGAACTTCGTTCCAATAAATTAATAACCACCAGGTTAACACGACTACAGATTTTACCTAATACTTTACTTTTACCTTAACGTGCTATAATAATTAATACTTACCCACTTCGGCCTCGCTTTCTACTTTACTGTTTTTTTCTTCCTCATCTGAAAGGTTTACATTAATAGACCTATATTAGACATAATAATAATAATTTAACCATAACTAATTAATAATTAAGGGTAATTAAGCTTAAATGATTGCTGAAAGCTCTTCAAGTTTTCGAATAGGTTAGTCAACGAACTTTTGCGGTTTGACACAGACCCTTAAAACTATATTATTCAGGCGATATTTTTACCGCAAAAAAAATTACATACTACAGAGGGCGTTAAGACGAATAAGTTTCGTGTCCTGCCTCGAGCGATTGCTGGTCGTGTTTTAGTGGGTATGCACAGGTAGTGCTCCATCACAAGGTAGTCGCGTCGTGAAAAAAAACCTCTCGAATGGAGTCGAGAGAACAATATTTCGAATTTTAAAATAATGTAGTTATTATTGTAATAACATCTATCGTGGTATATATTACTTACTCGTTTCCGCCTTATTATCTCCCATACTATTCTTTTCCGATTCGTCTGAAAGGGTTATATCAATAGAGGTTAATAAAATAGTTATTATTACTAACAAATTTAATTTAGTTTCACTTTTATGTATTTATATAAATCGACTCGGTTCATCTAAGTTTATATTAATATTCGATGGTTGCCTCACTAAGAAGCATCTAGAATCTTCTTTTCTAAAAAGAATATTAAATTAGAAAAAAATATCAGTGGCACGGCGCTACAACCTTTTTAGGTTTGGGCCTAAGATTTCTGTATTAGTTTCGTGATTTGTCAATCTAATAGGCAAGTAGGTGATCAGCCTCCTGTGCCTGACACACGCCGTCAACTGTTTAGGTCTTAAAGGCACGATGTTTTCCTTCACCGTTCGAGCAAATCTTAAATGGAATGAAACATGGAATGAAATTGGTGCACAGCCCGGAAAAAAAATTATTACCGATGTAGCCGGGGCAGGGCGTATTTCGCGAGACCCGTAACACACCATTTGTGAAGTAGTTTATTGTAAAAAAAAAAAAAAAACCCAAAACAAAAACCACACAAAAAAAAAAGTTTAAAAAAAACCCCCCTTCCCCCCCCCCCTTTTTTTTTTAAAAAAAAATTTTTAAAAAAAAAAAAATTTTGGGGAGCCCAAGCGGGGATTTCAGCGTGGCAGATTAATATACAAGGGGATACCTTGTACCCGGATAAGTACCTCTACCCTGAGCCCCATATATATTGATATTTTCTTACCAAAATGTTAAATTAAAACCAATTCTTTCTATTTAATTAAAGAATGGAGTTAAAACATAAAATTATTAAACAATATTTAAATTTTACATACCGGCGCCCGTTTCGTTTTCTCCGATACTATTAGGTTCGGGTTCGTCTGTAAGGTTGAGACATTTCGTCATGATTATATTTTTTTTTAAATTTCGTTTGATTAAGTTATTTGGAAAGCATTTAAAGACACATAGCACATCAAAATCTATAAATATGACTGTACCTACCTAATACTACAAACGTGACAATAAAATTTAAAATGTTTACTAAAACTATTATAGCTGATTTATGACCTTTTGAACTTTAATTACAATAAGTGAGAAGAATAAAATATATTTTGATATCAAAGAATGGAATGGACTGCAATTATTTTGCCAATTAGATAGGTGCGAATGGCGATAAAAAAAAATATTTTTACAGTTCACATAATATGAGGAGGTTCTAATACACAAAGGCTTACCCTTCTTTTTATGATTTCATTGTACACATACCTTTATTTTCTACACTTTGATGATCTTGAATATCAGATTTTGCTGAAAATGTACGGAGGGACAGACATATAGATATCAATAATTTTTATAATCGAAAACCTGGCTGAAAATTTCAATTGTACACATACCTTTATTTTCTTCACTTTCATTTTCTTGAATATCAACAGATTTTTCTGATAATGGACGGAGGGACAGAAAGAAATAAATATTTTTAAGAAACGAAAATCAAAAATAAAGATTTTAAAAATTTAACCATTATGCCTGTCTGAATATTTAAATATTAGGTCCTTACATATTAAATTGGCGTTTTGTATGGGAGGAACAAAAAGTCGAATATTTTTAAATATTAATTATATTTAATAGCCTTCAATACCTCATTATCAACTTGGGTCTCAGGCCGTCAACGGGGCTTGTTCTGCAGGTCGAAATTTCCAGAACGAAAACGTTGGAACCAAAAACGAACTGTGTTTTCTTTTGCAACATGACCGCCATACACATCATTCACCCTTCGAGTCGTTTCCGCAGCACTAGTGCCACGGCGGACCTCGTACTCGTAAATAATGCGATACTTTAAGTTTTCCATTTTGTAAAATGAGTGACGCAAACAGAAAAAAACAAATGAATGACGGTCATCGAAGCACAAATACATGAGTAAATAGCTGTACAAATTTGAATTTGGGATTCCTTACCAAAGAGGAGAACATCGTGATTAAAGTGGCCAGTACGAAATACGCCAATTTCAAATGTAAGGACCTAATAGTAAACATACCTTTTTTTTCTTCACTTTCATTTTCTTGAATATCAACAGATTTTTCTGATAATGGACGGAGGGACAGAAAGAAATAAAGATTTTTAATAAACGAAAATCAAAAATAAAGATTTTAAAATTTTACCATTATGCCTGTCTGAATATTTAAATAGTAAACATACCTTTATTTTCTACACTTTCATTTTCTTGAATATCAACAGATTTCTCTGAAAATACAGAAATACAGAGAAATCAGGAATTTTCATAAACTAAAACAAAAAATTAAAGAGTTAAAAAATAATACCTTCATGTGTGTCTGAAAAATTACATTGATTTATATTTAAAGTATTTGATTTATATTACTTGTAAATTGTAAACAAGTGACAATGAACATAAGAAAGACACTTACCGGGTAAATAATTTGTATCGACTAAAATGAAAAAAATAATTTGTGTTAAAATAAATTTAATTAGTTATTTGATTTTGGTTGAGTTGGTATTTCTATGTGCATTAAACACTCCCTCGTACGGCAAAGGAAAACATCGTGAGGAAACCGGCATTCCTTAGACCCAAAGAGTCGACGGCGTATGTCAGGCACACAAGGCTGATCTACTTGCCTGTTACAAAAAACAAATGATCATAAAAATATATAGAAATCTGAAGCCAAGATCAAAGGTTGTAGCGCCACTGGTTTATTATGTGTGTTGTATAAAAAAAAAAAAAAAAAAACAATAGTTTAAGTTTCATTCATTTTGTATTATATATCGGAATTATAATATTTTTTTCTAGTACAAGTTCGTAAACCTACATTTAAGCGATTTGTTAATCCTTGAAGATGAGAGATTTTAATAAGATTTTAGTGTCTGCGTGATGCAAGACGTATTTTATATTCAAATTCAAAAATCATTTAATCATATAGGTAACACATTGTACACTTATGACTCGTCAGTAAAGAAATACATATTAATGCTTCTAATTTTCATTTAGTGGCAGTTCTCAAATCAAGGGCGTAGAACGGAAGAGAAGAACTGACAATAACCTCTGCGCCACTCTTTTTAATCGCCATGTTTTTTTTACATAACGTTTGTAAGGAGCTGCAACCATTACACCATGTTCCACATGACAGCTTAAGTAATTAATAATAATAACATAAATTAAAATACGACAACCGATGACTTGGACAGATGGGAGAGTTTGTTCCAGACTTTGTTCGTAATTAAAAGCCTCTGAATAGCCTCGAATATAAATTAAATATAGAGGTTTCATACGAAAAAGCCACTTACTTTTTATAGGACGATCGGTTGTACATTTAGTGCTGAAAAGTCGAGTTGTCGCTTTTTGCAGTCCGCCCGTCATTCTATGTGTCATCTTAATTTTCTGGGCTTGACGGACTGTTAAATAAATATTATTAATAACTAATCTATACGTATACATCAATTAACATACATGCCAATCCTGATAATTACATCTTAATTAAAATGCTAAAAAATTTACAAACTCGTTTTGTATAAGCATTTAAAATTCGTATTAAAATGTAATTTCATGTCATTCGGCCATACCTACTTGGTCAAATTTAAAAGACGTCACAAGAATAAGAAGTAATACAAACACATATTTGCTAAACATACACATTTTTCTTGATTCTTTAGGAGTCCACTCACCGTTTTCAAAACCTAAAAAAATGTTACTAGTAAAAATGGTGGTCGAAAATGCGCGCGTTTTGTAAAATTGGTTAAAGTTACCAACACCAATATTTTTTTCTACATAAATCAACTATGATCATCTTATACTTAAACACAGAAACAGTTTTCAATTATATAATAATAAAATTCTTACTCGACAGTATTTCTCCATATTCTGTAAAGCAGAATTTAAATTTTCGTCACATAAATATTAATAATAGCAATTTGATCTCTTTTGAAAACATTATATGCAGTCTAAAACTGATGAAATCGTTTACATATTATGATTAAAACAAAATTTATCAAAAGCCCTTCGATTCATATAAAAAAATAATTAACCTGTGTTGATACAGCAGTATCTGATAAAAATCACTTTACGATCAAAAATGTTAGAAATAATAATTACCCATATTCATTAATTTCACTCGTTTCCCTGAAATATATATATATATATTTTAATTCCATTTGTTTCTTTAAAGAACTATGTTTTAAAGAAATAAAATATATTACCGTAGTCAGGATCTATATAAGGAAAACGGTTAATAAGTTTACAATAATTGAAATGATTAGATTCGTAATTAGATAAATTATTTACCAATATCATTATTTGAAAGTACATTATGTGGAAGTATTGCAGCCATTATCTAAAATCAGACGAAGATGAAATTACAGTTTTATATTTTAATTCAATTACATTGAGGACTTGGTTTGGAATAAAAACTTAATCAGGGTTTATTGTTTTGATTCTAAACGTTTCTAGTCCCGATCTTAGCAAACAAAGTCGACGTCCGTCTTTATTTAAGCCAGTTTCTGCCCCGCACCACCCCTATGTGAAACCAGCTGCCCACCGATGTATTTCTGAACCAATTCGACTTAGGTTCCACCGAGAAAAGAGCGTACCAATTCTTAAGGCCGGCAACGTACGTACGTAGTATCTATACGTCTATGGGTGGCGGCCTCCTGCTCATTTGATAATAAACAGGATTATTTAAAAAAGGCGTTTTTTTTATTACTAAGTAAGTAATTATTAAGTCTTGCGTCGATCGAAAATAACCAATAAATTCCTGATATCTATTAAATTAAAGATCATGAAAAGCGACTTCAAAACACCAGATGAACGTTTAAACTCGGCGTGTGACTTTTTTACATATACGAACTTACTTAGATTACATCTTTCCGAAATGTCTGAAGTAAGTGTTCAGTCTTAGCGATAGAAAACGGTTAGGTTTCTTATTTCTGTACCAGGGCGCCAGATGGTTTTGAAATGTGCTATTTTGTTGTTTGCTACTTAATTATCAACTCAATGGTTTTATCAACTAAAGTTGATAGCAAAGTGGAAATTAGTATTTTATTAAGAAGTTCAATAACTTACAATAATGCAAATCACATTGCACACAAAAATCATATTTTAAAAAATATCAAAACTTGTATAATAAAACGATAAAATGTAATTTTTCCATTGCAATATAAAATTGTGAAACACAAGAAGGTCTATAACATAATATTTTATTCGAATAGAGATGTAATAAAATAAAATGTGTTTATTTAAATATTACTAAGCAGTTACGATGTTTTACGAAAAAATAAGTTCTTGCCTACACATAGTTCATGGACATATCAGTCAAAGCATGAAAACTGAGTTTGGGGACATCATATAAATTTTCTTCATAAAAACCTGTCAATTTCTTAGCTTACACACGTGACTGAGGTTAACAGTAAATAGCTTGACTAATATCAAATCGTAAAATTTAACCTAAAATTATACAATAATTTGAATCCTACTTATTAGAAACGGTCCGTAAGTTACACAAAAAGCCTCGCTAGTAGTCACGACTTGTATGGCCTTATTTTGAACACCATACCCTCTCTAAAGTATCTATCATAATAGGACAGACACGTATTATTATGCATCATATGTATGTTCATCAATGACATTTTTATAGACAAGTGATAAGTCTTTCGCGCGGAACAATATTTATTTCTATTTACTATCGGATAGCGGTACAGTACAGCAGTACTATTTTCTATAAAAAATTATTACGTTTCAGCATCACCACGAGGACCACGAACATCACGAACACCACCATCACCATGAGCCTGGCATGCCTTTTGACTTTGCTTATACTGTCAATGAGGACGGTAATGATTATAGCCACAACGCCATCTCTGACGGTGACATCACTCGAGGACAATACCGCGTCGCCCTACCCGATGGACGTACACAGATCGTCAAATACACTGCTGACTGGAAGAATGGATTTAACGCCGAGGTAATCATTAAGGTTTACACAACAAATCCTGTTTAAAACGCACTTCAGATTTTATAACACGTATTGTCACTTTACAATCTTCATCATCAGTACCAAGTAAATTTACCAATCTGTGCAAATGCCCGATAAAAATCTCCTAACCTTATTATTCAAATAGACTATAGCTAAATATGTATTAAATTAAAACAAGCGATCATACACTATTCATCCTACCGAACTCTTTTACTATTCGAATTCAAATTTATATTAAGGTCGGCAACACACCAGCTAGCCCCCGTTATTACTTGATTCAAAGTGACGCGTCTGCTCGTCAGCCCCATAAAAAAATTTTAGCAGGCGTTAAAATTCTCTTGACGTAGTGAAACTTTTCAGAACCTTTGTGAAATAACCAGTGTTTCTCTTGGATTGACACAGTTTCACATAAAACTAACGACATACGATGTATATTTCAGGTTTCGTATGAAGGCGAGGCAAGCTACCCAGACCAGCCGAACGGCATCCGAACTGGTGGTCAGGCGTACGCCCCTCCGAGCCAAGGAGGCGGTTACCAGTATTAGTATTAACCTTAGATAGATGGCTCTGTAAATAATAATAACTTCAAAAGACACCAAATACATCCCTGAAAACGGTTTTGAGAAATTTAAACAATTTACCAGATTTTTATAGCTGTGATAAATTTTATGGTCAAATATTACAAATCGAAAATTAACTGTACACAATTGTTACCAGGATCAAAGTGAAAAATATACTTATATATATATACATATATATAATTAAAGTAGAATATTTCTCTAAGCTGAAGCTGTAAAATTTAACTTAAAAACACAAAATGCATACCGTCTAAATACAACATTAAGATAAATAATAAAATATACAAATAGCAACTAAGTAACTAAACTGTAGTTATAGTATGTAAAAATATTACATAGATATTTGTTGTTTATGCTCACACAGCTGGGCTGACCAAATATAAAATCAAAAGATTTTGGAAATCTATTGATATTGGGATATACTAAAAAGATTATATTTTGTAAAATACTCAACACCACTGCCTTAAATAAGCTTAATTAAGACACTTATTTAATCTTATACTCTTTGTTTAATGCAAATAAATATATTTTTATTAAGCTAAACTCTTTTATTTAAGTAAATGTGTGTTTTCAGTGTTAAAGATTTAAAGATAAAAAATATTAAAAGATTTTTCAATTAGGACAAAGTGATTCCCATGTTTCAATTATATTTTAACTCATTTAGGCAAAGGAAAGATAGAAAATACTTCTTGATTATTATGAACAAAATCACAATCTTTATGAACCAATTTCATATGCCGTATCAATTCTTTCTTTAATACAAATTTTTTACCACACACATAGCATATCTCTCTTTTTTCTCCATGTTTTCTTTTCATATGATCATTTACACGACTCTTGTTCACAAATCTTTGATTACAGACTAGACATTCAAATGTTTTGTCATTTAAGTGCAACTTCAAATGATTATTTAAACTTTTTTTATAGTGGAATGTTTCCCCACAAATTTCACAAATGATATCTTTTTTATGTGTGTGAGTTTTATTGTGTTCTGCCAATGCACTTTTAGTATAAAATCTTTTAGAACAAAAACAAATGTATGGTCTAGATTTCAAATGTTTACTATTAATATGACCTTCTAATGTTGTCTTACATTTTGTACTGTATTCACATATATCACAAGTATATAACTTTCTGTTTCTTTTTCTGTGTCCCCTCAGATGAAGTTTTAAATTTCCTTTCAGTACTTTAAAACATATAGGGCATATTTCTTCTGTGGTATTAGAAATAAATTCTTGAGTATATGGATCCTCTATTGCATTAACATTAAAATGTTCTTTGTTTGAATTCTCCTTCTGTAAATTAAACTTTTCAGAAGGTAGGTCAACATTTATAAAAAGATGGTTTAAAGATGTTGAATGGCTTTCTAATTTTATACTAATATGCTTTATAATATTCAGCAGTATCTCCTCAATGTACTTTTTTCTTCTTAAATGAGTGTAAATATTAAGAATAAAGTCAAGGCATTGTTGACAAGCATGTTGGAGAAATATTTTCTGAAAAATGAGAATAATGTTAATGCAAATTAAGTGGGGCACCTAGAACATGAATATTTGAGATAAATAACATAATTTGTCCCATTCCTACATCACTCAAGTATATTAAGTTCGAGAACTCTAAAAATTTACTTAGTATAAAAAAGGCAATGATAGCTAAGGATTGGTAGATTGTAAAGTTTTAAAATATGTTTATAACAAAATCCTAAATAATATTTACTTACTTGAATTGGGAAAATTTCTTTAATTACACTTGCTAGCCTAATTGATCGACTTGGGCTTGCTGTATATATACTATTTTCATAAATATTTAACAAGTCATTACTTTCTTTAAAACACATAAAACAAGTAACTTTCAATTTCGTTGGATTAACTAATAAATTTATAATATCTCGTAATGCGATCATATTTTAAATTTTTATAGATGCAGTTCCACGAATTTAGTAAACACGGTCTATAATTCTATATTTATATATTTCAATTATTGTCCATTTGGTCCAAAGATTATACAAAATTCTGACAGTGCTGTAATTTTTAATAGTTTGGGAATTATTCTGAAGATGGAGTGGGAACCCTGTTTTTAACTGTATAAGACTTATACTATAAGTGATTATGAACAATCAAGTCAGTGTTGCCACCTGCACTGTAATTACGGTAAAAACACCGTAACCAGCAAAGATCTACCACCTACCGTAGGATTATAATTACGGTAGCAAAATACACCGTAATACCCATTGAAGATCGTATTTTTTGTAATATTGTAGATATACACGATTATTATCTTTAAACTAAAATAATTTTAGCGAGTTTAAACGTTTATTTTCATCAAGTTGGGGAGTTTTCGTTTTATTCTACTGACAGCACTGTTTAATGCTTCGGAGAATCCCCCAATAGCGTGATTCCAGCTGGAAGATATTACGCGAATGAATATCCGGATTCTCTTAAGAAAGCCAAAGTTACTCCTATCGGCCCCGGAATTTACAGACCAATATGCATTCTACCTTCAATATCAAAAAATATTAGAAAAAATTCTCTATTCATTAAATCTATTCACGACTTTATACTTACTTACAAACTAACAATTTTATTTTTAAACGCCAATATGGTTTCGATCAAAAAGCAGCACTTTATCACCTACAGCCGATCACGTTAGTGATATACCTAAAGCAAAATATTGACTCTTAAGAAAATGCCGCTGTGTGTCTTTATTGATTTGAAAAAAGCGTTAGACACCGTAAGCCACAACTTATTGCTTAAAAAATTAGAACGCATAAGAATAAAAGATTGTGCACTAAACTTATTCAAATCTTATCAATCTTCTTGGTTTCAACAAAATCTGCTTACAATTAATATATCAAAAACATCTTATGTAATATTTAGGGCAACAAATAAACTCATTCCTATCTTTCAACCGCTAAAAGTTCAAGACGTTGAAATCACTAACAAAAAATGGGAGAAACATCTGGGTCTTAGAATGGATACAAATTTAAAGTAGGACTTTCATATATCACACATAATTACCAAACTAAAATCACTTATAGGCAGATTTTGGTCAATATCAAAATGCATTCCGCAATTTGTACGTCGTTTGATTTATAATAGTTTAGTCAAGCCACATTTCATATATCTAATTGAAATATGGGGTACAGCATGCAAAAACAAAATTTCTAAGATACAAACGCTACAAAATAAATTAATAATAATAATAATAATCTATCAAGATACCAAAATTATGTCGATCAAACAACTATGTTTAGGTATAGCACCTGTATCTTAATTTAAAAAATATTGAATAACTCTCTCCATAGAAGCTTATCATTTAAAAAAATCAAATACACCACTACTCGCAATACTCGTCGAGCGAGTTTGCTCATCTTGCCGAAGCCGCGCACAAATTATTTTAAGAAGTCTATTGAGTATGAGGGTGTACAATTATTTAATCAATTACCCTCTAAAATTCGCACGATTAGCGTGTTTAATCAATTCAAAAGGGCATTAAATATGCATATTAGAATGAACCTAATAGACTAAAATTGGGATAGCTGATGGCGACGCGTGTCTCGTTCTTATATTTATATTAGGTACTAGCTGGCCTGGCGAACATCGTACCGCCTAACAGTCGATTCTTTATTTTTTTAAATACTTATTCTGCTATTCGGGACACCGGTCTAGTTAGTAAGATAAAAAAAAGGAAGTTGATAAGACAACAAATACATTATGTCAAAAAATAAAAATTTACCTTCCCGGAACCCCTCCACTAACACTTGAACTTTATGATATGGTATTAAAGTTCAAATTGACTTTTAAGTATTATTACGAATATTTTGCATGGGAATAAAGTGTTGAGGAAAAGTGTTGTTTTTAGACTTTTTCACTCAATTTTTTTTAATTTTTCTCTCCGTAAGAACCATCCTCGTACTTCAAGGAATATTATAAAAAAAGGGTGCGTGTACTTATGTACGCGCGTAAGAAGTTATACTCTTGATATTAAATTTGTTGCACAAATAATTAATTATAATTAATAATCAAAGACTGGAAAAGGAGTCATTATGTCAAAAAGTTCGTTTACATTTGAAAAATTTAATAAATAAAATATAATTTTCTCTTACAAAATAAAAAAATTTTATTATTCATATTATAAATTTTTTAACACATTTATATTATATAATTATAATGTGTTAATAATATAATTTGTGCACTGCTACAGACCTGGATAGCAACTTTCTTTTATTCTTTTAGAGATAGAGATAATTTAAATATAATACCGGTGTCTTCCTTGTAGGTTTCTTTTGAGTTGTTTGGGGATTCTTGTTGATCAGTTCGACATGATTTTCTTTAACCTTTCTTTAATCCTACAAAATAATGAAATTGTTGTTATGTTGTCACTGTTGTGCACACCTTTGTTTGGCTTTTTAGTATTCTAGTTATGTCAAAACTGATTTATTACCTTGTCATTGTTGGCTTTATTTGCTTTTGGGATAGCAATTGTTTCCAAAATGATTTTATTTGTAATATCCTGAAATATAAATAACATCTATTAATTTAAGTGTCATGGTGAGTGGTTGACTCAGGTATTAAGGGTATTATACCCACTGTCCATTATAAGTGGGAATGGGCTCACTTCTGGTGGACAGAGTTTCGGTACTACAAGAGCAACATGTGTTTTGAGGTATACAATCTACTACCCTGTAGGGGAATAAAGTATGTGCCTATGCTTGAGAGGTTGAGCCTTGAACATCACCATCATATTTATAATTAAATTCCTACCTCGACACCATCACAATCAAATTCATTGAAATCTACTTCAAACCGTTGCGGTATCATTTGCCATATCCATTGTTGAGAAGGTGATGGTGGCTTTGTTCCACCTCTTGTTTTTGATGTTTCACGGGATAAGATGACAACTCTTTTTTTTTATTCAATTTAGTGACTTCCACTGAAATTGTTTTTTGTCTCTTGTCCTTATAGTAC